GGGTTCGAATCCCGTTGAAGCCCTGATTTTTTCAGGCTTCTTCTTTCCAATTGCTTAAATTGGAAAATTAACTGCGATGATCATTCTTCACTTTCATGCAGACTTACCTTAAGGTAATGTTTTTGTGCGTAACACTAGATGTGGTTTACTCGGTGCTGTTAGTTTTGAACCGTGACAATTTTTTTATCTGTGTTGTGACAGGTTTGTTTATCGTAACAATACACTCTGTTTTTGCTTTCAGGTGACTTCTTCCAATTGCTATTCGCCTGTTGTCAGGAGAATGTGTTTTCCATTGAGCGATTCCGCCGATCAAGTGGCCAAACCACGTCAAATGTATCTATCAATACCAGCAGAAGAGGAAGCCGCGGCAAAACAACTACTCCTGACTTCATGTGGAATATCACTTGGCTGGACTTCTTCAAGGTAAATCGATACCAGTCAATACTAAAAGGTTTTCCTTCCGTATGGTTGGCAGTGGTGTTGGGCTTTTTGTACTGCTGTTTCGTACCATGTTATCACTGTGATAAAGCGATTTTCAATTGGTTGTCGAAAGTAATACCAATTTGCTTTGGTTGAATTCCTTGTGCTTTACTGCGCTCTGTGATTGGTTTAAAAGTTAGCCAATGAGACGCAAAACATAGCCACTCGCAAGATTTGGGCTCGTGCGTTTTCCCGCGCTTGGCGCCGATCACGTGTATTTACAACTTGAGTTCTTCAGTTGGCCCATTGTGCTATTTACGTTCGCTGTGATTGGCTCTTGTAACTGCTGTGCTTCGAGTGATGGTGTTGGGTTTTTACACAGTTGTTTCCCACTGTTTAATCACTGTAATATTCGCCCTGTTAAATTAGACTGATAGACTGATTTAGGACTGTTTTTTATTTTCAGGTTTTTGTATTTCAACACATGTACTGGGTCACTCTAGCCGTTGTTTACATCACTGTTCAGAGTACTATCAGTATCTTCAACTTTGGTTTCATATTGTGGTGCTTCTTCTTCTTGTGGCATGGACAAGCTCTGTACCTCCAGCCAAGAACGAGGCTCTTTAGATTGTGGAAAATCTTCATAGGATATAATTATTTCACGCTTCTTGCTAAAGTTTGTTTACAGGTGGGAGAGCAAAATGATTAAGAGGGAATCCACCAGACGTTCGAGTGACAAGTGGACAAAAACTTTGTTCCAAGATTATTTACATTGTATTGCAAACCTCTGTGCGACTGTTTTAAATATCCTCTCAAAGGAAATCATTTCTAACAACACCAAATGTCGAAAACAAACACTTAAAGATACTGGTAAAATGAAACTGAGGCTGAATTTTTTCCTGTGTTTACACAATTTCTCAGAACCGTTTGAAATTTATTTTCTCGAGTTCCCATGGGAAATGGGTTTTGGTATTATAGTATTTCAGGCAACTATTTATTTCGTTAGCTTTTAGAAAATGCAAAAAGGACTGTAATATACTTAAAATTATTCTGGTACACGGGTTTTGTCCACTTAAAACTGAAGTTGCTCGGATATTTAACAGTTATGATGAAGTTTTTAATAATTTCTGTGATCGGCCCTTGGTCTCTTCTTCCAGTGTGGCCCTCGAGCTTGGTTAATAGCAACTACTTACAATGAAATCAAAAATTGGTTTGAAAAATCGGGCATAAAATTGGAATAACGTGGAATAACGTCATTGAACAACATAGGGGATGAATTCACGATTCTCGCCGACGTATTGAATTTGTCAAACTTATTACAGTCCCGACTTCTCATATTTTCCTTCTTCCTCTCATTCCTTCAGCTCGTGTCTTGTGTTTATGTGGAGTACGTTAAAAACCACACAGGCTGTTGGGCGTTACAGCTGCTAAGCTTGTTCTGTTTAAGACAACGTGGATACAAGAACAAGACACAAGCCGCCATCGGTGACTGTGTGGCTCCGGATGACACGGGACTCGCCATGGACTGCGCATGCTTCACTTTTCTTGTCATGCAGTATCGTGTGTTCACATCAGATTACTTTAAGCACGTGGTGCGAGATCACAAAGAGCAGGCCGACATGGCAAGTAGGTATGTACCGAGTCTCCACGAAGTTTGATTTCACTGAAGATGTCGGAAAATTCTCCCGTAATCCGTTTTAATTTGATGTCCGTAACGTAAAAAGCGTGGCATCGAAAAGTGCAATTTTGTAAATAATGCCAGGAAAGTAACAGCTTCCGCAGTTTGAAGAAGCATTCGTTTAAGAAGGGAACCAGTCAGCGATGGATAGCCTGAGAATAACGTAAACCATTTCTCGTTGTAAGTCATGTCATCTCTCCGTTGGCATATCTCATCGTAGAGCTTTTCCTAAACACAATTTCAGCGTACAGTGTAGTACATTGACCACGAGAATAAATTAATTAATTTTCTCAGCTATCAACCTGAGAAATGCTTTAGGAAAAAGGTAGAAGAATTTGTATCTCGATATTAAAGATTAGAGTAATAAGACTGTCTATCGTGAAGCGTAAAAAGAGTGCGAGAGGAAACATGTCGGTGCGAAACTACGACAAATGAGAGGCTGCTGTCTGTTTTCTCTTCTTCCTGTACGTAGCCGAGTGCTTTTGTTTTGGCAGCAAAGCCGCGTGTGCGCGAAGCCTTGTGGGGATTGGTGAGGAGTCGAGTTGAATCCTGGGGAAGCCGCTTGCAGAAGAATAAAAGGGCGGCTTTTGCAGCCAAAAAATCACTCGCTCGCAAATCACCCCCTCCCGAATCACCCCAGCTACTCAGGCTATAACAAACGGAACAAACCTAAGCTGTGAAAGTTGTTCATACGTTCCCCTTCCTATTTCCTCTTTGGTGAATTTAGATCCGTGGTCGTTTATTTTTCTCCTCAGGGGAGCTGAACTAGTTGATGAACATGTTCGTACCCAGTTAGAAGCAGTGAGACGAGAAGACAAAGGAAAAATGGATCGCATCAAAAAATCGTGAGTACAGCATTCTTTACACTTACACTATCGCTTGACGACTGTCGGACTTAGAATGTTTGTACTTGTCAGACTTGAGTTGTTCAAAGGGTGGATAACGCTACCCGTGGGATGAATCACTATCCAATGGAAACATCTTAGTAATTAATTCGGAGGAAAGCGTTTTCCAATTGCTTTTGTTGCTGTACCGCAATATACGCCGCTTGACTTTGTATTGATATTCTAAAGTGACACTGGATCCTGATGTATTTAATATATTTTTCGTATTTGTTTAAAACAGACTCAACAAACTGAAACAGAAACTTGCCAAGCTGCACCCAGCAGGAGAACAATACGAGCCTCAGTCACACTATGAAGGTAAACTCCTTAACTCTGTTCGCACCGACTTAACTTGTTCAGTTAAGCCAAGTTTAAAACAAATTAAAAAGCAGTGACAGAAAAATAGAAGAACAGGCTTGATATGATTTGTTGTTCATAGTCCCTCGCAATCTGGGTCTCTGCCTGGTGTCTCTTCGCTTCTTGGAGTTATTATGACACCCTTCGTGTTTTGTACATGTACCTCTTAAAACTATCATTTTGAGGGTCGTTGGAGTTCGTTGCATCAAAATATCGTGCATACGAAGCGTAACACACGAACCGACTAACAGGCAAACGCGCGATCTGATTGGCTACATAGGAGCGGCCTAGTTATCGAAAGACGGCATCGGGAGCTGGTCAATCTTTGAACATGGATTCAACTTCGCGTTTTCGTGAAGTTTCCGGAATGAAAATATATTAGTTGCTTTTTGATAGATCGGTCATTGAGTTATGCTAAAACAACAACTTAATTTTATAGACGTTTTGTCTTGGACAGAATTGACATAAACGCTTTCTCTGGTTATGTACAGCAATCTACTCTGGAGATTACAAGTGGTTTGAAACTGAATCAGAGGAAGAACTAGAGAGTGAATCACCAACAGGAAGCCCATCACGTGACAGGAGTCCCAGTCCTAATGAGCCCGAAGGAGACCGAGCTGAGACCAAGGAGACTGGGGACAAAGGTGTGCTATTTTCTTTGCACATATTATAAGAATACCGAACACAAACCTGTTGCTTTAATCACAGATAATGCCAGCCTCTTTTTCTCCGGTTTTTTTGTTTATCAAGTCTTTGAAAGAGAAATAACTTTTTAAACTTTACTTGGCGAGCTCTTATTGCAACCATCTCTGTTTCTTGTACACAGGCAAACCAAGAAAAGCCACAGGAGACCCAGCTTCATCCGGAGCACGGAAGAGTTCGAGCAGCTCAATCGAAGGCGAAGACGACTTCCTGGCTGTTGTCGCCCCGGAGATGCCCGAAGATGTCGTAGGGCAACCCGACGGATTTGTTAACAAGATAAAGCGTTGGTGTAGCTGGCTGTATTACTACATCGCTATATCTGTAGACAAGGTCATTGAATTGCTGAATGACATTTCTAAACACTACCGAGAGATTGCTGACCAACTCAAGAGAGAGCGCAAGGAGAAGAGAATCGAGAAACTTCGGCGGGCTAAGTTCGGTTATGCAGTTGCTCGGGTTCGGCTCGGAGAAGCATCGGACCCCGAAGCGGACAACAAGGTACTTGTTAGCTTTGAGCGAGATTTCCACTGTCGCGTTATTTGGCGCGCGTCAACGAACGTAAATTTGATGAATTAAAATGCCTAAAGCTCTGTAGCGCAAATCTATGGGCGACTTGCGTCTGTGTAAAAAATGGAATCTGCTTTAACTTTTTCCGCCGACGGAAGCTATCCATATATTTCCTCGCTCCACAAAATTCGCGTCTGTTGACGCGTTTAAAAACGTTCATTTTCTGTTTTCTGTAGTTTCTTTTGGTTTTCTTTCTTTACATCCATCATAATATGGAGCATTAATCGCTGGACGGCAAACAGCGTAGTTGACTTTTTAGTGTCTTTTTAGCGGTGTCCACTTCCAGGAATAAGTTGTAAAACTCTCGTTTTAGCATTTGTAGCTGGACGTTTTTAACGAACCGTCGATAACACCGTCACGCGCCAAAGAAGAGAAGCGCGACTCAAAACGTCTGTACCGTGGCTTCCAACCTGTGTGAACCTGTCACAATGACTTGTTTAACCATCCTTCACGTTGCGTGTTTCTTTTATTTTGACGTTTGCTTTTCATGTACAAGTGAATATTTTTGATCACGCAGAGTATGACGTCACGCATTACCATGGAGGATGATGACGCCTGGTCGTCTTCCAACTTGGACCTAGACGATGCGGACGGGAACGCGAGTTGGCGCAAGTCCAACATGCGGATCTCGCGCCTGACAGTAGCATTCGTGTATGCACTGCTAGCCAACACAGACATCCTGTGCTACATGCTGATGATATTAAACCATATGGTGTACGCTAGTGTTCTGTCGATACCGCTACCTTTCCTGGTGTTCCTGTGGGGCATGCTGTCCATCCCCAGACCCACCAAGATATTTTGGATCACGGTGATGACGTATACACAGATTGTGATCGTGGTGAAGTACTTGTTCAAGTTTCAGTTTATCGACATCAATGATTGTAATCGCGAGGAAGGGTTGGAGAAGGACAGTCCGCTGTGTCCTCCAAGGTTGATTGGAATTGAACGAGATGGCCACACGTCCGCCTATGATCTCTTGTTGCTGCTAGTGCTTTTCTTTCACAGATATTCACTGAAGGTAAGACTGTCTTCAGTATCTATGTGTAGAATAGCTTTGGTGCAATCGGCCATCCAACACGCTCTTTAGGAAATGTTTGGGTGGGGTGGGGTGGGTGGGTCATCCTTCAACAGAGTAGCCACAGGTCAGGAAATGGTCAGCGAAAAAAATTCTTCCAGGTTAGGGAAAAGTCAGGGAATTTATTTTGAGACAGGGAAAATTGACATTTTGAAGAAAAGTCAGGGAAAATTTAAATAATTCAACACGGCTGATTTAATACCATTAAAAACTGGAAGAAACATTTGGGGTCACTGTGATCTTAACGATATTTTTCGTCAATGGAGAAGGAAAATTTTGTTGAAAACTTATTAGTCTTAATGAACGGCTGTAAATTGAGGCTAGAAACCGCTACTAGATCTGACATTTTGTATTTATTTGGTCAGGGAAATGATTTTTTATTAGGGAAAAATCAGGGAATTTAGAAAAGTCATGTCTGTGGCAACCATCAGTCAAGAAAGGATTTCATTCGGTCACGTCAAATTTTCATCGGAAATCTTCGCATAACATTCCGAAATGACCAGAAACGTTTGAATGGCTGGCGGGCACTTTTCGGAACTCGCGGGAAGATGGAACTCTCAGTCGCAAGTGTGCGAAAATTTCCGCGAAAATGAATTAGTAACATCGGAATGATTTTCGAATAATCTTCGGAAAATATTCAGCTTTGCTTTATATGCCATTCCAAAGGCGGCAAATGTGATTTTCGTGAAGAAATTATTGAGCATACAGGTAACCCTCAAATCAAAAAAAAAATCAAGTCATAATTTGTCTTGTCTCTGTTTCAGGTGCACGGTTTGTGGAGAGACAATGCCAACGCAGAAGAAGGAGATGAAACTGATGAGCCTCCAATGTCACCCGCTTCACCTCCAGGTACAACGATCTGTTCTGAAATAAAATCGCAACCAAAGCAATCACACATCTGACCAATTAGAACTCCAAGCCAAATCATGCGACCGGTGCCAAGCGCGGGAAAGCACGCGACCATTGCCGAGCCCGGGAAAAGGTGCAACCAGTGTCAAGCGCGGGAAACAATGCAGTCGTTACCTAGCGCGGGAAAACAACTGATCAGGGGCCCGTTTCTCGAAAGTCCCGGAAACTTTTCGGGCCCGGAAAGCCATAGCAAAATCTCGGACCTTACGATTACAGAGTTGTTTTATTCACTTATTCTTAATATGAACAGAGGTTCCCTTCATACAAGAAGTTTCAGTCGTATACACTTCTCCGCTTTTAGATACAGATGAACTAAAAATGGCTTTACGGGCCCGAAAAGTTTCCGGGGCTTTCGAGAAACGGACCCGAAGACGGAAAAATGATCCTTGGCAAGCGCGGGAAAGCATGTCACCCGTTCCTAGCGTGGGAAAACATCTAAAACATGAGAGGGAAAGCGTGCGTAAACCAGGTCACGATTTGTATTCACAATTAAAACTAAGGTACACAGAATAGGGTTGCCACGGTCAGGGAAATGTCAGGGAAGATTAGATTTTGTTCAATGTCAGAGAGAAGTCAGGGAGTTTTTTGTCAGGTCAGGGAGTTTCTCCATCCCTGTTCAAAGTCAGTGAAATGTCAGGGAATTTTATCTTAAGGTTGCCGCAAATTATTTTATTAGATGTTTTTGTATAGACAGGGCAATTTTGTTATAAAAATTGTCTGGGCCACCCTTAATTTTGTTGATTCATGGCCAGAATAGTCATCCTGCAGGGTCAGTGAAAATTGCTTTACAGTCAGTGAAAAGTCAGGGAAAAGTCAGGGAGATTTTTTGTTCCAGTGGGTGGCAACCCTGATAGAGTTGCGTTGTTGTAGAATCCTGCAAGCTTTGTCGCTTTTTCCTTTACCTTGATGTTTTTCAGGTCACTTTGGTGCTGGTTATGGTGGTTCTGTAATGCTGGATAGATCGATATCCATTGAGAGTAGCGTATCTACTCAGCAATCACAGGTTTATACTTTGCTCAATTCATAACTTGCCGTATGACTTTGTATTCATATTGTAAGGAGAAATCAGATGTTAATCATCGTTATGACGTGTTCTTTTTCAGGACACCGAGGCGACGGAGGGAGATGGAAGACATAGAAATCAAGAACGGTAGGAGATTAAGCTTTTCTATAGCAGGAGTTTCTTGTATTTCATTTCCTTTGTCGACAGTTACCCTAAACTTAACGCACTTAAACGCACTTTTTTCATGTATTCACGCCACCGTATAATATACTCTATGTATATCTTTTCAACCACACGCGAGGGTCGTACTACGAGAATGTCGCCCCCGAGATCTTGACCACGTACAATAAAGATTGAGATCCAGTAGTCTCCCAGTAGGGTCCCGAGAATGCTCGGTTAATGAGAGATTTACTTCATGACATCATGATTTAAAAATAGAAATCGAACGTTTTCCTGGTCCAATACTTAGACAACATTGGCCCGGTAATAAAGCGCTCTCATTGGATGAATTTAGTTATTGACCGTCAGCTTTTCATTTCGTCTCTCCCTAGCGGGCTGTGTTTTCCTGTGATGACGTTTTTTCGTCGTATTTATGATCCTGAAGTAGGCTCGGGTGCTGTGGATGTGTACGCCATGATGTTTTCTTGTCAGTTTATCATCTTTATCATCATTGTGTTCAGTTGGTCCGCGTTCTCCTCCCCAGAGGTAAATAAACATCAGTAAGAATTTCTCAAACAAATATAAGCCGTAACCGCGATTACCGTACCCAAATTCGCAATTAGCCAATCAGAAGCCGTGTCTAGTGTCCTGATATCCTCCGATATCAAGTCACTGACCTGATATGGCTTCGATAAGATGGTCACTTGGCCGAAATTGTGTATAACAGATTGTCACATGTATAAATCTGATGCTAGTTACTAAAACAATTGAAATCGATTCTCTATGTTTGATTTCCATATCCTTTATTTTCAGCCGAAGCCCCAAGCGCAGTTCATGCAAATAATAGAACAGAACGTGGTATGTTAACTTTGTTTGTTTGTTTGTTTTTTCATCGATATCAGCCATATGGGCGATAATTATAGTAAAGCTGTTCAGAAGAATTTTTTGCTTCTAATGTAAAAATGGAACGAACTATCAGACGAACTAACACCTCAGTGCGTCGCTCAAGACGTACACAAGCTTATAGTTCGTCTTGATGAGTCATTCCTCAACTGCGCGACTTAAAACTGGCACGCATTGCCATAGAGACGCATAATTCGTCTGATGCCCGTCTTAACACTCACACAGACAGATTATCCGTATTATCTGGATTATGTTTCTTTAAGTACAATAATGCCGGGCCAGTTAAGAATTGATTCATGTTTTAGTGTGTATCATCGCGTTTTAATGACGGGGGAAGTTGTAGGAACTCAGAAGAGGCGTATCAGTTGCTTGACGCAGCGGTCCAGAGCAACTCTAGTTCCGTGAGTGCTCTCCAAACTACCCAAGTCCATCATGACTCGATCATACTCGCTAAAGGATGAGTATAAAGCATTGTTCTGTTGAGTATAAAGCATTGCTCGCTAAAGCATTGTTTTTTAATCGTTGGTTTTGGAAATGGCGTAGCGAAGTTGACTTTTCTCAACCATGAGCCTACATTAATGGATTATGATACACGCTTTACGTACACTGACTTTGATGGCGCGGCTTTTGTAGCTGTGTTGTAAATAAAATATTGTGCGACAACCTTCACTGAAAACAGTTCTGTAACAAGTATTCGAGTCATTTTTACAAATTTTATATCTAAAATGAAAATTTAATATCATTTTTTGTAGGTGCCGAAAACTTTCCTTTACATGTTGTTAACACAGTTTCTTCTCATCATCATTGACAGGTAAACATTTTTCTTCAATCAAACCGTTCCTCGTGCCCTGAGATGACTTAAAAATGCCTTGAGTGTGACTAAGTTTTCTTTTTCATTTCAGATATTTATATCTTAGAAAATTTGTGATAGCAAAGCTGATTTACAATGTCTGTTTGGTGATATTATTCCACGTGTTTATGTTCTTCATCGTGCCACTTGTGACACAGAGGTAAGAACACAAAGTTTGACACATAAAAGATCGTTGTTCCAATATGTGTAATAAATAAGCACCAGCCTTCATTTGGATATTTGTTCGCGGAAATTACCTGTTCCGAGAAGCGAACAATTTTCCGAGAGCGTATTTTCCAATCAAAATGGGGCTATTGTGTTTATTATCCTTCAAATATTTTTCGCAACACGCGGGTTCTGAAAACTGGGAAACATCACTCGGATATTCTCCAGTTTTAGCTGGAAATATTCAGTCACGTGACGCGTTTAGGCGAATCGCGTGTCAGAGAAAATATTTGATGGATTGTAACTCATGATAGTAACTAGTCTAGTAGGACAGAAAAGTGCTGAGGCAATGATACAATCGCTAATATAGGACTGAGCAAAGATGGTGGGAATGGAGCGGATGTACCAGACTATCTGATCATAGTTTACTATGATCTGATGAAGTTGGACTCATTTTGAACAAACGAGAAAAAGGTTTCCGTGACAAAGTGACGAAATTGATTCCATAGCTTCAATAATTTTATGATTTTAAGGTCATTCACAAACATAAAGTTTACTATGCCGCCCTCTTATTATGACATGTATCCCTGTCGTCTTTCTCAAGGGCTTTCATCGAGAATATTCCAGCAATCTTCATGTACATCTTCAAGTGTATGTACTTTGGACTGTCCGCTTACCAAGTACGATGTGGTTACCCTACGAGGATTCTGGGTAATTTCTTGACGAAAAGCTATACGCTGACCAGCGGTATTCTGTTTCAAGGGTAAGTCCATTATGTAATTTGTGATAATCTCAAATTAGCCTAAATTACTATTTTGTCGGCACGGAGCAGAGGGTTGGGGTGGGTTCGAGTTGCGCAGTATTCAGCGAGATTAGAGTTTGGTGGCTGTCCAACGCGCCCAATTTAATCACGCTGTGTGTCCGGATGAGTAGTGGAGGCTAAATTGAATCTTTGTGTGGTTTAGGTGGATTCCTAGTGATCAACGCTTGAAGTGTCGCGATTTTTGAATGAATTAAGAGGAAATCCGATAGGAAATCGAGCAATTGTAGTTTTTAGTGGAAAAAAACCGTTTACCAGAATTATTTTAAGTATATTTCAGTTCTTTTTGCATTTGTAAGAGCCAAAGATATAAATATTTGCCTGAAATAACACCAAAAGCAATTTCACACGGTAAGTCGAGGAAATAAATTTCAAAGTTCAGATAAATTGTGATAAATTTCATCATCCGTTTCATTTCACAAGTGTACTTTCAAGTGTTTCATATTAACTTCAAAATTTGTTTTCGACATTTGGTGTTGTTAGAAATGATTTCTTATGAGCCGATATTCAAAACAGTCGTATAGAAGTTTGCAATACAATTTAAATAATCTTGGTACAAAGTTTTTGTCCACTTGTTACTTGAACTTCTGGTGGATTCCCTCTTAAATTCATCTTTCAAAATGCGAAATTACTTAGAAATGTCAAGTAGAAACTGCACCCGAGGAAACAAAATGAATAACATGGGCCAATTAGCTGTTTTGTTTGCTAGTTTCCAGGCCATTCCCTTCCTACTGGAGTTGCGCAGTGTACTAGACTGGGTTTGCACGGATACCACCCTGACCTTGTATCACTGGCTCAAGATGGAAGATATTTATGCTAATATTTATGTGCTGAAGTGTTACAGGGAATCAGAAAAGGTTAGTTGTGCTAGAAGTGATGGATATATTTATGTGGTTTCTGTCATTTAAATTCCTTTGCAAGCGTAATTATACAACGTTCCTAAGAAGCGTTGCTTTGTCTAAGGAAGACAAACTCTGTTTCTTTACGCGACGCATTGAAGATGAGTTTCATGAGCGAATTTAAGGACGGTGCCTACTAAATACAAAGGTTTTTGCGCCAGGTTAGGACCACGCGGAAAAAGTAGATCTTTGTAAGGGTTATTTGGCATCCACAAAGAAAAATTGGGGTAGCCACGCATTTTTTCGAGATAATTAGCCTCGAATTTCATCAAAAATGCTGACATCAGCATTTTTTTGAAAAAAGAAGGAAAGGATATTTCTTCACAGATTTTCTTAGAATTCGCCTTTATATACAGAAAAGCAAACACATTTATAGAGACCTTAAAACTACATGGTAAATGGTAACATAAAAACCATTTTTGGTATGTTTTTAACAAAAAAATCGTTGCCACAGCGTTTCTAACGTCTCTGACAGCCTTCCTCTGGATCAGCCAAAATACTGTCTAAATACCTTTCGCTCACAACCAGAAACTAATCACGTGTTGAATAG